GATCTCCTGGTTTAACAGCCCGATGCAACTCTTGGGATTTCTGCGTGGAAGCAGAAAGTCCACACAGGCTGGGAAAAATGTCTGGAAGCGTCCCAGCCTTGGCAGACCACCTTTGTTCGCTTTGTACGTGGTGGAGTTAAATTAACCTCACATTTCAGAGCATCGGCTGTCACTGGCAGGGATCAGGAAAATCCTTTTCAGCTGCTCCATCCCCTCTACATGCAGATTTGGGGTCAGGAGGAGGGCTAGCTCTGCTGGGCAGCAAATGGCTGCTGCTGGAGGGATGCAGGAGAGCATCAGTATTCTTCTGCTTGGTCTGCCAGGGGTCTGCCTCCTTGACGTGGTCGCCAATGCAGGGATGGTCCCTGCTCAGGTGAACTCTTTAGGGCTCTGCAGTGCCTGTGTGGGCAACAGGGTGGGAAGGGGGACGTGTTCAGCTGCTGGCCCAGTCTGACATGGGAAGGGGACGGCAAAATCCTTGTAGCAAGCCTGGATGAAAGCAAATGGAAGCGCATTGGCCGATGTGTTATCCCCGAGAGGCCGGGACATAACACCACCCTTTCACTGCTCAAAGTCCTGGAAGAGCCTCAGATTCCCCGGCAATGCTGGAGGAAAGGATGAGATAGCTGGAGCTCCTACATGAGCACAGGCAGAGCAGGGGCAGAGCAAACTGCCCAAGCGGCAGAAGGAAAGGATGATGTTCAGAGGTGAGTTCACCAACACTTGTGCAAAAACAAAGGCAAATACACCAGGAAGGCCCTGGCTTCTGGACCAGGGTTCAACAAGCAGCAAAATGTTCATAAACACTGCTTTTTGTATCTTCACTGGCAGGCATTGAAGCCATTGAAACCAGAGAGGAGAAGGACCTTCCTCCGTCAGTGAGCTGGGAACCCAAGGCCCCCTTCTCCTGGTGAACGTGGAGATGGAGTTTATCAGCTATTACACAAATTTCTTTCTTATCTGTACTCGAGTGATATTAGATCTTTGAGTTTAATCTTCCCGATACATTGATATTTGCTTTACACAAACATAATCCTAGTTTATAATGCTGGAGAATTTTATGTGTGCGCACAGGTACATGACAGCGTGGATATTGGTGTGTTCTTTACTCAGAATGTGCTATGAGATTTCTGGGAAAAGAAACCACCACACACCTCACAGCTGGGACACAAACACCTCCCATCTTGCAGATGTTCCAGAGGCCAATAAGGAAAAAGTCAAGGAGGGGGAGGTAAAAATACCTGCTTAGGAACAAACGTCCATAAAACAGATGGAGAACAGCTTGTGAGTAACTGTTCAATAAGCCCACATCGACATGGGGCCACCCCTGCAGTGGTGGGAGCTGCCTCCAAGCTGGTGCCCGGGGGAGTGCTGTGGCTGGAGGGGTGATTTTATCTGTATTAACGCAGCTCCATGCTGCCACGAAGCTGCTTCGCCCTCATCCGGGTGGGCTCTGCAGTCAGGAAGTGCAGGGAGGTCTGTGAGTGCGTGTCCACCCTGGCAGCGATCAGTGGTCCCAGGTTCATCATCTGCATGGCGATGCCCCACGTCACAGCTCTCCACTCCTCAGACATGGCTCCTCCGAGCCCGGCCTGGCTTCGTGGCCATCCCAGTGGTGTGGTTCTGGCTGCCCTGTGGTTATTTACATGTCGTGAAACAGAAATGCTGGGAATGGGATAATGTCTCATCTCTCCTGGGATAATGATCCATGCATCGTATCTCTTTAGAGATGAGTTACGAGATAAAATGTTTTTGAAGTATCATGTAACAGGCAGAGTGTGTGAGGGGGAAAAGATCTCCTACTTTCTCGACTAACTTTTTAGGAAATCCTATTTAATTCCGTGTTTGCTCTATTCCAGTGGCTGAGCTGCAAGTTAGTGCCAAGGAGTAAATCTGGAAGTGTCGTGGGGCAACCTGGACTTCTCCATGTAAGCAATACGACTTGAGTTTCACCTTCCCAGTCATCTCAGCCTTACTGGGGAGAGCCCCTTCTGTCCTGAAACTCTTGTCCTCTCAGTGGATGACATTTTTATAGCTGATTATATTACTCAGTCATTTTTCAAATGTGAGACTTTGGAAAATCGGGGGTTTTTAGTATCTTTTTGCAACCATAGCTCAAAGCATGCTTGGACAAAACAGGTCGTTTGTCACCATAGGTTGTGCTGTAGATAGCAGGGGCTTTGCACAGTGCTGGCTGGTGGCACGTGGCTGCCCTGAGCAGAGGACATGCTGTGGATCACACAGCTTCTGCACTGTCGGTTGGAAGAGGCAGGAGATAATCTCAGCACCCAGGAGTGACACCTACTTTCCTCTGAGACTCAGTCGAAACAGCCTCACATCTCACCTGGTCCAGTCCCCTTAGCTCAGTTCCTGACAGGAGCCCCAGATGTGACAAGCTGGACGGTTGGCACCATTGCTTGGTTCTGCTTTGTGTCTATGACCACTATTGATCCACGCAGTGTGTTTGCTCCAGAAGAAAGCGGTGACATCGACACGGTCTTCCATGGTGCTGGTTTGTTGCATCCAGCTCCTGTCCACCTTGTGTGGATCCAGCGGGAGGGACTCCAGACCCTGCCCAGCTGTGTGATGAGCATCCCCAGGGCTGTGCTGTGTGGGGTGACAGGGGAAGCCCAGCCAATGTCTCCAAACACCTCTTGGTGGCATATCCAGGAAAAGCCCTGCTTGACACGTGGGAAGTGCTTGGATGCCTATGCTGTATTTGCTCAGGTTCTGATAAGGGCTCTTATCAGAGCAGATGAATGCCCTTGCCATGGGTTACAGCCCCATTGCAGGCGGCTCATTAACACGCCCCGGGACTGAGCAGGACGGGACGGGTGAAGCAGTGTCAGCCACACTCCTCCCCTGGCACGGCACAGCTATAAATCTTGTGGCTCAAAGCATATCTACAGTAACTGTCTGGACCTCCAAGTGTCCCCGTGGAGCCGGCATGGGTGAGTGTGAGCATGGGGGGCAGAACAGGGTGGGTTCCCCGGCCTGAGGACCCCTAGAAGCTGTTGCAGAGGGGTGTTGAGAGCCACTCCTGGCAAACCTATCCATTTGCTCCCGTGGATGGAGGACTGACCACAGAGGCAGGAGGTGACATTGGGCAGAGAGCAGGGGCAGACTCAAGGTCTGTGCTGCTTCTCCCAGAGCAAGTGAGAAGGTTTGAGAGAGACATGCGAGCTCCTGGGTCTGTCCTCAGCCCAGCTGTCCCCTCAGATGAGAGCTCAGAGGGATTGGGTGGGGGAAGAGGGAACCCAGAGAGCGGGGCCCAGAGGAGTCTCAGAGCAGCTCTGGGTCATACTGGAGGAGTGCAGACCCATGCACCACGCTGCTCTGCCCAGGGGCTCTCCGCATCTCGCATCGCTGCAAGCGCAGTGGGAAAAGCTTCAGCAAGCTCAGGGTCCAGGCCAGGGCAGGTCTCTGCAGACAAGATCCACGCAGAGCTGTGCTCAGGAGGGCAAAGCCTATGGAGGGGAGGTCAGAGTGGCCTTTCCCCATGCAAACTGGGTGAGAAGATGCTGAGCAAAGAAAAACATTGCAGTAGTTCATCTCCTAGGAGCACCCCTCTGTCCCTGCAGAGCAGAGAGAAGGACAGGTTCATGTCTAGCTGATAGTCACTGCGCTTTATTTCTAGTCCAATGGACTCAGAAATCTAAGTGTAAATGTGTCAAAAACATAAGATTGAATTTACTGGTGTAAGAAAAGCATAGGTTTCCATTTGCTATCAAGGGTTCATTATTGTGGGGTGTCCAAAATAGAGGCACTGTTGGAAAAGTTGTCCTTGTCCAGATGTCTCACAATCCAACACTGCTGTAATCCCCAGAGGTGTCGCTGTGATGTATTCTTTAGATAAATGTTCAGATTTTAACATTGAGATAGCTATTATTAAAATTAAGTTGAATAACATTATTATTTTTATTCAATTACAACTTGTTTTTTTCTTTGGAATTTCCAGGGTGTAGTGTAAAGTCTGAAGAAATACTATCCAGCTGTTTACTGAGCTGGAGAGGCAGAAAATATCCTGCAAGGTTTCTGTTAAAGTTTGTTCTTAAAGATAAACACTTTGGTCAAGTTTCTTTCTATCTGCAAAGGACTTTCTTGGGATTGCTTGATTTTGCTCCCCAAACTTCCTGGGCACTTTGGGCTCTGGCACGAAGCTTGGAGAAATCCAGCTACAAGGTTGATGTCAGAAAGGCAACCCCGTGCCACCTGTGCAGGTTTGGGGTGACCTGCAGTGGTTTCCCCTTATTGCAGCTGGTTCCCCGTTGCATTTTACACCAGCGGTATAAGAGCGGTGGGATGCTCTCTTTGACTGTCATCTTGTCCCTTCCTCCCCCAGCTGCTCAGTGCGGTCTCCTCCTGCTCCTTGCCTGCATGCTGGCCCTGCCTGCCCCACATCTCACCGGCAGCATCCAAAGCCAGTCCCTCTCCAAACGCTCGGCCTTGAATAGCACTGTGTCTGCTCTGAGCACGTTAGTGAACGGTAGGTACATGGACGGTCTCCACCTCTGCCAGCAGGATATGGCTAGGACCACCCTTGGGCGGGCTGTTGTTCCAACCCCCTGAGCTGTCAGCAGAGCCCCAGCATCCCTCAGGAGAGATAAATGCCCAGCACGAGCCACCTGTCCTTCCTCGAACGTGTGGTGGGACTTTGCAGTCACAGGCCTTTCTGCTTATGTGTAGATGTGGAGAAGCCCAGAGGGTTTGCTCTGATCCCCTCTGGAAGCCAAGGCTCTCCCTCCCCACGCATCCCCTGCCCCATGGGAGGAGGGTAGGGACAGTCACTGGGAAAGATGCAGAAGAAAGGAGGGGTTCTCCTGGCACCATCATCTCAGCTATTTCCCTTGTCCCATGGTTAAAAACTAGAAAAGTGGTCTTCTCCTGTGCAACACCCTTGTCTGTGGGTACTCCATCAGACTACTTTGCCTCTGTCTCCTCCTCAGCCTTGCTCCCGAGGTACTCACAGTTGCAGGAGGGTGGAGCACAGCTCCTGCAGTGGTGGGGGAGGATGGCTGATGCCCACTTGGATGAGGGAACACATGGCAAATGCACACTCAGTTTCTGAGGCCACAGCACATCAAAAATAATTGGAAATGGAGGCCTGAGAAGACAAAGGCTCCTAGGCATCTTCCCTGGCTGGGAGCAAGGTCAGAGGTGTAAAGGCCCTACATCTTGCTGCCTGGACTCCTCTTCTTGAGCCAGGAAGGACCCCCTCATATGGGTTCCAGTCTGCTTTGGTGACCTCCCTCCTGCCCCATTTCCAAATCTCCCTAGGCTTGTTTTCCTTTTCCAGGTCAGCTCCGGCTGGTGAATGGCTCCAACCAGTGCTCTGGACGGGTGGAGGTTTGGTACCGCAATGAGTGGGGAACAGTGTGCGATGACAGCTGGGACATGAGAGATGCCGCTGTGGTGTGCAGGCAGCTTGGCTGCGGAGACGCAGTGTCAGCCCAGAGTAACGCTTATTTTGGGCGTGGATCTGGGCCTATATGGCTGGACGACGTTAACTGCAATGGGGAGGAGGAGCTTCTCACGCAGTGCTCCCTGCGGGCTTGGGGAGAGCACAACTGCGGGCACAGCGAGGACGCAGGCGTCGTGTGCTCAGGTGACGATGGCTTTCGCACGATCTGTGCTCCTCAGACAATCTGGGTCTCATTAACATCTTGGTCTTGCAGAACCAGCCACAGGAGGACAACGGGCTGTGCCTCAGTCTTATTAAATCGCCCTCTCTCCTGCCCCAGGTTGGCCCAAGGACTGCAGCGAGATCCCCACTGGCAGCCCCAGCGGCATCTACGTGATCCAGCCCACAGGACTGCACCCCATCGTGGTGTACTGCGAGATGAACCTGACCGATGGGGGCTGGACGGTCATCCAGAGGAACAAGCAGAGCACGGAGATCACCTGGGCCGAGTCCTGGAGCACCTACAAGTACGGCTTTGGGAACGTGCACACCGAGTACTGGCTGGGCACCGAGTACATCCATCAGATCACCAGGCAGAAGGGCTACCAGGTCAGGTTTGCCATCTGGGATGCCGCAAACAACACCAGGTTTGCAGACTACAATCTCTTCACTGTGGAGGACGAGTCCCAGGGCTACCGGCTGAGGCTGGGAACATACTCAGGGACAGCAGAGGATGCCATGGCCTCAAAGAGTCCCACCGCCACACATGACAACATGAAGTTCTCCGCCAAAGATCTGGATCAGGACACTGCCAGCGGCAACTGCGCCTCCAGCTACGGGGGCGGGTGGTGGTACTCGGCGTGTTATTCTGTGCGGCTGAATGTCAAGGGGGCCATAACGTGGGGCAGCCTGTGCAACGGGAACTGCAAAGCTTCTGCCATCCTCATCAAACCCATCACCTACTGCTAGGGCTCTGTCGCTGCCTGCGACGGGGATGTGGCCAGAGCAGTGTTCCATGGCTGGAGGCAGCAGAGGGGGCGGCAGTGGAGAACACACCAGCCTGCCAACAGATTTTTCTTTCACCTCTTTTGCAGAACACCTCTACTTCCCTTGCTGGGGTCTTCCCCTTTGAGCTGTTTTTATTTTAATTGCATTATAATTAGTCTAAGACATTGTAAACCCTGTACTGCTGAAACATACCTGTTCTGGAGAATAAAATGTGCTTTAGAAACATCACAGGAAAATGTCCTTATTTTCACAGAACGCTTTCAGGGAGAGGGCATCCACAGCTTCTCTTATTCTCTTCTCTTTATTCGTAGCTGTACAAACAACCAGTCCCTTTCTTTTCAGTGTTTCTCATCCTCACCCCCACATTAGCTGGGGTGAGGGAAAGGACAAAGCTCCCTTATTTCCTAATGAATCTGAATTGGCCCCACCTGCTGAAGATGTGGCCTTGACACCTGCACCTGGGGAGGTGTTTTCACCCACACTGGCTCTCAGTTCAGCACTTGTTAAAACCTCTGGTAAAATCCTGTGTCTAAAACAACAGCTACAACCTGCAAACACCTACTCCGTATCTCCAGCGTGGTTGTCCTGGCTGATATGGAGTGAGCAGCCGTGCTGGGACAGTGCCACATGTCTTACGAAAAAAAATCTATGGGATTGCAGGGAAAATATCGAACAGGGAATTAATAAAACACAGCTACATTTAAATAAATAAACTGCAAGGTTTTGACTCTGGAGAAGCTCTGTGGAAGGACGGGTAGCTCTGGATGCTTTGCACAGCACTGCCAGCCCAGAGGGAAAAGGGGCTGCTTGGTGCCTGCTGGGCACCCCCTGGCCGGGGCTGGGCAGGCTGGAGCCTGCACTGGGCATCACCAACGGTGCCCACCACCCCCGCACCGCAGCACGCTGGCACCGACACCGCGGGGTGGGGTGTGCAAACAAGGGTCCGGTTCACTGGGGAGGTGGTGCCATCCCTGAGCCCTGTGTGCTCCCTGGCCTCGGGCTAAAATGCAGGTGTGGGTTGCCCACAGCCAGTTGGGTCCTGGTGAGTCCTGGCCACCCAACGTCACCCACTCTGGGGTGGGAAAGCACTGGCCATGGCACAGTGCCCTGCTGCCCCCCAGTGCAGGGAGTCCAGGCTGAGCACTGCAGGGCTGCCCCAAGATGCTCACCCCTGGGCTCCCCACCCGCCTGGGGCCTCAAAGCATCACCCCCCAGAACCCAGCCCTGGGCTGCCAAGGGACTCTGGGATGAATCTTCCATGGCATGAACCCCCTCCTGATGCCTTGACACCTCTCAGGGGTGTCCTGACCCCCCCAGCCCTTGCTGCAGGATGTGACTGGGACTGCAGCTCCCCCAGCCATGGCATGGAGCAGAGCAAGGAGAGGGTGTCTCAGACAGGGGGTGCAGCAAATGGGACTCCCCCATGAACATGGCACCCCCCAGCATCCTCCACCACTCTCAACTGCTCCAATGTGTGTCCAGTGTTGTGGCGGCAGGTAAACACAAGGCAGCAAGGTCTGACTCCAGGTTTTATTGCAGCTGATTTCTCCCACCATGGGTAGCAGAGCTGTGAGGTGTACAGGGCCCGGGGGGAGAGCAGGGATATGCCAATTGCACAGGGAAGGGAACTTGCACTGTCTCCCCCTCCCCAGCACAGGAGTGGGCGCGCCCACCCCAAACCAGTGCCTGTGTCCCAGTGCTGGCCAGCACCGCGGCACTGGGCAAAGCTGCCCGTGTGCCTGGGGCTCCAGGCGATTGCTCCTGAGCCACAGAGCTGCTGCGTTTCACTGGTGGTGGTGCAGGGGC